CCCCAGAACTGTCAGTCCCGTTGTTTTCTCCTCCAGATTGTTCATCCAGCCTGTCCTATCCAGACAGGCCTGCAGCCTCCTCGTCTTCTTAAGTTCCAGCCCATCTAGGTCAATCCACCTTGTTGAAGGCTTTTTCCCTGCCCCCCCCCCACCTCCTTTACCAAGCGTGCTGCCCTCCATGGACTGGTCTCCTCTGACAATATGTCCAAAGGAGGTGAGACAAAGTCTCTCCATCGTTGCCTTGCTTCTAAGGAGCATTCTGGCTGTACTTCTTCCAGGACAAATCTTTTGGTAGTTCATAGCACTTTCAGTATCTTTCACCAGCACCACAATTCAAATGCATAGATTCTTCTTTGGCCTTCCTTTGTAAATGCCCAACAGCACATGCATACGAAGGTATTGAAAATATATATACCGTTTATATTCGAGTATAAGCCGACCCAGATATCAGCCAAGACACCTAATTTCACCACAAAAACTGCTTTTAAAAATGTGCTGAAAAACTTGGCTTATACAGGAGTATATACGGTAGTTTGGTTCAGGTGTATCTTAGTCCTCAAAGTTACATTCTCGCTTTTCAACACTTTTAAAAGGTTTTGTACACAGCATATTTACCCAATACAGTGCATAATTTGATCTCTTGACTGCTGCTTCCATGTGATTTGGTGGTGGATCCAAGAAAGACAAAATCCTTGACAGCGTCAGTCTTTGCTCTGGTTATCATGATGCTTACCCACTGGTCCAGCGTGAGGGTTTTGGAGGTCTTAACATTGTGTTGTAATCTACACTGGAGGCTGCAATCCTTGATCTTCATCAGCAAGTGCTTCAAGTCCTCCACACTCTCAGCAAGCCAGATTGTGCCATCTGCATATGGCAAGTTGTTAATAAGCCTTCCTCCAATCTTGATACCACATTCTTTATAGAACAGTGGCTCTCCACCTTCCTAATGCCGCAACCCTTTAAGACAGTTCCTCATGGTGTGGTGACCCCCAACCATAAATTATTTTCATTGCTACTTCATAACTATAATTTTGCTACTGTTATGAATTGAGTGACCCCTGTGAAAGGGTTGTTCGACCCCCAAAGGCATCGTGGCCCACAGGTTGAGAACTGCTGTCATAGAATGAATGATTTGCTCTGATGATGTTGCTCAGTACACAGATTGGATAAGTATGGTGGGAGGATACAACCTTGATGCACACCTTTCCCGATTTTAAACCAGGCAGTATGCCCTTGTCTGTTCACACACTGGCTCTTGATCCGTGAACAGGTCCTGAATGATCTCCAGACTATCCATAATTTATTATGATCCACAGAGTCAAATGCCTTTGCATAATCATAAAACACAAGCAGACATCTTTCTGGTATTCTCTGCTTTCAGCCAAGATCCATCTGACAGCAGCAATGATACCCTTATTTCACATCTTCTTCTGAATCTGGCTTGACCCTCTGGCAGCTCCCTAGCATTACACGATCGATCCAACTGCAGCAGCTGTTGGATGACCTACAGCACAATGTACTTGCACGTGAGACCAATGATATTGCTCTTTAACTGCCACATTCTGTTGGGTCTCCTTTCTTTGGAACGGGTACAAATATGGATCTCTCCCAGGCCACTGGCCAAGCAGCTGTCTTCCAAAATTTCCTTGCAAAGATGAGTGAGTGCTTCCAGTGTTTTATCAGCCTGTTGAAACATTTCAATCGGTATCCCATCAATTCCTTGAGCCTTGTTTTTGGCTAATGCTTTCAGTAAAGCTTGAAATTCTTCCTTCAGTACCATCAGTTCTAGATCATATGCTACCTCTTGATATGGTTGAATGTCTACTAGTTCTTTTTGGAATAGTGATTCGGTATATTTTTTCATCTTCTTTGGATGTTTCCTGCATCTTCAATATTTTGCCCATAGAACCTTTCAGTATTGTAGCTCAATCCACTCTTTTCTTTAGTTCTTTCAGTTCAGATATGCTGAGCATGCTCCTCCATTTAGTTTCCAACTAGGTCTTTGCACATTTCATTATAGCATTTTGCTTTGTCTTTGCTACCTGCCCTTTGAAATTTTCGGTTCAGCTCTTTGACTTCATCCTTTCTTCCATTTGCCTTAGGTACTCTATGATTAAGAGCAAGTTCAGAGTCTCTTCGGACATCCACTTTGAACTTGTCTTTCCTGTCTTTTTCAAGGAAAAAGACTGTCTTCATGTGTGGTGTTCTCCGTGGCCTCCCACAGCTCATCAGGTCTTCTGGCATTAGTGTCCAATGCGTCAGATCTGTTTTGAGATGTCCTAGAAATGCTGGTAGGATAGACTCAAGGTCATATGTTGGCTCTTGTGGACTGGTTTTTATTTTCTTCGACTTCCACTTGAACTTTCATTGGGGCAATTGATGGTCTGACCCACAGTCAGTCCCTGGTCTGGTTTTAGCTGTTAATATTGAGCTTCTCCATCACTCTGGACAGGTGAAGTCAATTTGCTCTCTCCGTATTCCATCTGGAGAAATCCACATGTATAGAGTCACTTTTTTAAAATTTTAATAAATCATTTTATTGGGGACTCTTATAACAATCAACACATCAATTGTATCAAGCACATTCGTACATTATAGTCACTTTTTGTTGTTGAAAAGAGTGTTTACAATCAAGAAATCACCGGTTTTAAAATTTCTATCATGCGATCTCCAGCTTTGTTTCTATCTCCAAGACCATCTTTCCCAACTACCGTTCCTTCTCCACCAGCTGCTCCACGGGAGAAAGACAAGGTTTCTACTCCCAGGAAGAGCTCCAGTCTCAGAAACCCACAGGGGCAGCTCTCTCTGCCCTGTAGGGGTCGCTGTGAATCGGAATAGACTTCACGGCAGTGAGTTAGTTTTGAATTCTTCCTCTTTCCAGCTTTTGCATTCCAGTTGCCAATAATTATCAATGCATCTTGATCGAATGTTTGATCAATTTCAGACTGAAGACACTGGTAAAATTCTCCAATTGCCAAATCCCTATCTTTAGAGGTAGGTGCTTGAAGTTGAGTAATAGTTGTAGTGACTATTCCTTGTATTCGGATAGATCTTATCTGATCTCTGACAGCGCTGTACTTCAAAATACATCTTGAAATGTCCTTTTTGACAATGAATGCAACACAATTCTTGAATCTGTCGTCCCTGGCATGGTAAACTAGATCGTTTTCTGATTCAAAGTAGCTAATAGTCCATTTCAGCTCACTAATGCCAACGTTATCGATCGTTACGCATTCTATTTCATTGTTGATAATGTCTAATTTTCCTAGATTCACATGTCATACATTCAGAGTCCCGATGATTAATTGATGTTGCAGCTGTTCCTTTCTCATTGTGAGTCACGCCCCATCAGCCAGTGACGGTCCGGAGGGTTCCCTCCGTCCACGTCAGTGTGGTCGGCTCTGCTTTGAGAAGGCAGCTCATCCTCAGTCATAGTTTGAGTGCCTTCCAACCAGAGGGCTCATCTTCGGGCATGATTCCTCACAGTGTTCTGATGCTGTCCACAAGGTTCTCAGCAGCGAAGTCCCCTAAGTGGACATCCTATTCCTTCTTCATAGTCTGCCCTCAGTCTGGACGCACTGCTGAAACCTGTTCACTTTGGGGGACCCTGCTGGTCTTTGAAATGCCAGCATCACAGCAACGCACAGCACGACAAATTGTCAGACGAGAATGACCCTTAGAAAACCAGAACCTTGGGTGGTTGACAAAGCATTTTTGCTTCCTTACCTATACGGCTGTACTTTAGTCCCGTGGTCTTGAAATTCCAGGGCTTTTTGAACAACAGCTTCATTTTCTTCCGAGTAGACTGAGCATGTGCAGTAGACCACCGCTTGGGCTCTAGTAACTACAAGGAACGAGAAAAGAATCACTGCAGTGAGCTCGCAACAACCCCATGCCCCGGTGCTGTTACTTCCAAGCATCTCTGTGGCTCTGACAGCAGCACGTGTTGACAGGAATGATTTCCAGAGATGCCTGCACAGCCCCCTTTTAGAAACAGTGGTAGCTAGTAATGTCCTCTGTGGCCAAAGACAGCTCAGTGGATTACACGTGAATCCAAAAAAGTCAACGAGTCTCATCAGTCTACTGACAAACAGCAACAAATATAACGGGAAAGAGTGTAGCACCTAAAAGCATCAGTAGGACGTTTACGAGGCCTCTGCAGATTAGAACCGTGCACTCGATCCCTTCATCCAGGCCTCCTGAGCAGAGCAGCCTCGTGTAACTTGTTAAGTGCTGTCATTGTGGTTGTGAGCTGCCTTTGAGTCGACCTACAACTCATGACAACCCTACCCAGTCCAGCGTCAACCCCAAACTCCACTGTGATACACAGGATTTTCAGTGGCTGATTTTTAGAAGTAGATCACCAGGCCTTTCTTCCTAGTCTGTCTTGGGCTGGAATCTCTGCAGAATCCTGCTCAGCATCAAAGCAACCCACAAGCCTTCACTGACAGATGGGTGGTGGCTATAGGTGAGGGCCAATGGCCAGGAAATGACCCCAGATCTCCTCCTGGGAAGGCAGGAATGCTACCACCGAGGAGACTGGATCCAAATTCTGCCACTTGGTGATGTGCAAACCTCGTAAAAACCACCTACTATGGGCCAGGCACTGTTCTAGACATTCGGGATCCATTAATAAACAAAATAGGCAAAATCTCTGCTCTTGTAGAGCTCATTTTTTAGAAAAAGAAAAGACAATACAACATAAAAGAATAAAGATATTATAAAGTATTGTTAGAAAGCAATTGGTGCTTGGAGAAAAAACATGGAGCAGGGATAAGGAACAGAAAGTTCCAGAGAGGATCTCTTCATTTTACTTAGGGTAATAATATAGTATACATGGGCCTTGCAGATGGGCCACACAGGAAAGAGCAACTACATCTGTGGAAAGAGATCATGGAGAAGCTCAGTACGATCAGAATAAGGCCACGGAGTCACTGTGGATCAGACGTCCAGTTGCTCATATACAAGTTCAAGTTAATACTGGAAAAACATTACAGCAAGTTCATAAAAGGCATAGTATGACCTTGATCATTCCACGCCTGAATTTAGAGGCCATCTGAAAACAGATCTGAGGTGCGGAACACCACGGACCCAAGAGCAGGGGCCTTGTTCAGATGACACCAAGGACGTCCACACACCAAGCAAGCACAGAGTCATCACAAAGATAGGAAAGACAGAAAAGATCAAAATGGGTACAAGAGACTCTGAAACTTGCCCCTGAACCTAGAGTAGCTAAAGCTAAAGAAGTTTTGCCGAAGTTAAAAACTAAACAGAAGATTTCAAAGGGCACTAGAGAAGACAAAGTAGAATGAAATGTGTAAACACTTGGATTTAAAAGGGAAGAACACGCTTAGCATTTCCCAAGCTGAAGGAAAAACTTAAGGCTCAAATAGAAATACTGAAGGATTCTATGGGCAAAATAAGGATCCATGGTGGCGTACTGATTATGCCTAGGGCTGTGATCCTCAAGGTTCACGGTTCAGAACCACCAGCTGCTCCGTGGGAGAAAGTCGGGGCTTTCAACTCCTGTAAACAATTAGTCTCTGAAATTCACAGGGCCAGTTCTGTCCTACAGGGTCCCTGTGAGTTAGCATTGACGAGATGGCAGTGAGTTTGGTTTCTATGGGCAATATATAGAAGAACACAAGAAACTTCAGAAGAAGACTAAAGGAATATAGGGTCACGGTACAAGTTACAACTGATCAACATGCAGCCCCTTCAAGAGGTGGCATATGAGGGGGTAGCCCCCCCCCAAAAAAAAAACTGGAATTTTTTTCCCCAAAACCTATGTATTTAAATTTTTTTACCAAAAAACCTCACCACCTTCAAAGTACTCTCCATTACATTTATCAAATCTGTGATTCCATTCTTGGAAACATTTTTCAAAGTCATCTGTTTGGATGGTTGACAGCATCTTCCACATTCTTTTCTTCACCTCTTCTAGGTTGTCAAATCGCTGACCTTTCATGTCCCTCTTCATTTGCAGAAACAAAAAGAAGTTGCATGGAGTGAGGTTCAGGTGAGTAAGGTGCCTGGGGCAAAAGAGGCATGCTGTTTTTTTGTCAAAAACTGGCACACTGAGATGGCTGCATGACCAGGTACATTGTTGTGGTAGCAAAAGCAGTCCCGTCTGCCACAAATCAGGCCTTTTTTGTCACACACTCTTTTCAGAACCGCTAAATAAAAAGCTTGACTAACAGTCTAACCTGGTGGAGCAAACTCCAAATGCATTACGAGTTGACCTTGTCATCCATTTTCAGGAAGTTGGGGGATGTCCAGAATGAGTTTTGTCATCAGTCAACATTTTACCTTTTCTGAAATGAGAAAACCACTCATATACTTGAGGTTTTCCCACAGTGCTGTCCTTGTAAGCTGTGTTCAACACCACAACAGTGCTGCAGCACTTTTCCTGAGCAGGAAACAAAATTTCACAGCTGCATGCTGTTCTCATAAATTGGTCATCACAAAAAACAAGGCTCAAGCAAAACTGACTTTATGAAAAATTCACCATGATCAGAGAGAACCTTCCGAGGTGACACCACTGGCTGCACTAACTCAGAATGAGCCGCTTGATACTCGCCTGGTGGGGGAAAATGTGTACTTTGAGAGCTCCGCTCTGCCCAGCGCAATTCCAGTTATTGGGGGTGCCCCTGTGTATGATCAAGAACCAATAGTACTGAAAGAAAAAGTCCAAGCTGCACCGACGACATTGGTGAAAAACAAGGCTGCAAGGATTGATGGAATACTAATTGCAATGTCTCAACAAACAGATGCCATGTTGGACACATACACTCATTTTTGCCAAGAACTTTGGAAGACAGCTACCTGGTCAACCAACTGGAAGAGATCCATAATTGTCCCCATTCCAAAATAAGGTGACCAAACAGAGTTCAGAATTATCAAGTAATATCATACATAAGTAAAATTGTGCAACGTGTTTAAAACAGTTGTAGCAGTACATCAAAAGGGAACTGACAGAAATCCAAACAGGATTCAGAAGAGGATTTGGTACAGGGATATCATTTATGATATCACATAAATCATAGCCGACAGCAGAGAATACCAGAAAGATCATAATACTGTTTTATTCATTATGAATTATGATTCAATTTTGTGAATCACCACAAACTATGGGTAACATTATAAGGAGCAGGGATTCCTCACGCCCTTGTGCTCACGCAGTGATAGGGGATCGTGCATGGTTGAAATTAGGAAAGGTGTGCATCAAGAGTGTATCCTTGCACCGCATTCATTCACGTCTTGGTCCTGAGCAGTTTTTCTAAGACGCTAGCTATCTGGGTTAGAAGAATGTGGCATCCGGATTAGAGGAAGACTCATTAGCAACCTGGGCTGCAGATGGCCCAACCTTAACGCGCTCACGGAAGAAAGTCAAAACTGACAGCCTTCAGTATGCATTACACCGCAACACAAAGAAAACAGGAACTCTAACAACTGGACCCGTTAGTGACGTTATAATAAACAAGCTGAAGTTGTCAAGGATTTCATTTTAGTTAAAGATCCAAAATCAACAGTCAGGACAGCTGCAGTCAAGAAATTGAGTGTTGTCGAGGTGCCAAAGCGATCAGTTATCAGGCATCAAAGAAACAAAAAATCGTATCATTGTGTGCTCACCTCCCCGATACAATCGCTGAAGACCAATGGGTGCATAAGCAAATGTGGTGAAGAAAGCTGATGGTGCCCGGCTATCAAAAGATATAGTGTCTTAAGGCTTGAAGGTAAACAAGCGGCTATCTAGCTCAGAAGTAACAAAGCCCACATGGAAGAAGCACACCAGTCTGTGTGATCACGAGGTGTTGAAGGGATCAGGTATCAGGCATCAAAGAACAAAAAATCATATCCTTGTGAATGAGGGGCAGTGAGGGGCGGAGACCCAAAGCCCATCTGTAGGCAACTGGACATTCCCTTACGAAAGGGTCGCAGAGAGGAGATGAGCCAGTCAGGGTGCAGTGTTGCAACGATGAAACATACAACTTTCCTCTAATTCCTAAATGCTTCTTCCCTGCCCACTACCATGATCCCAATTCTACCTTACAAATATGGCTAGACCAGAGGATGTACACTGGTACAGATAGGAACTGGAAACACAGGGAATCCAGGGTGGATGATCCCTTCAGAACCAGTGGTGTGAGTGGCGATACTGGGAGGGTAGAGGGAGGGTGGGTTGGAAAGGGGGAACCGATTACAAGGATCTACATGTGACCTCCTCCCTGGGGGACGGACAACAGAAAAGTGGGTGAAGGGAGATGGTAGACAGTGCAAGATATGACAAAATAATATTTTATGAATTATCAAGGGTTCGTAAGGCAGTGGGGAGTGGGGAGGGAGGGGGCAAAATGAGGAGCTGATGCCAGGGGCTTATGTGGTGAGCAAATGTTTTGAGAATGATGAGGGTAACAAATGTACAAGTGTGCTTTATACAATTAATGTATGTGTGGATTGTGATAGGAGTTTGAAAAAAAAGAAGAAATCGAATGTTGTATTGCATTGGGCAACTCTGTTGCAAAAGACCTCTTTCAAGTGTTCAAAAGCACTTTGAACCCTAAGGTGCCGCAGGACCTGACCCAAGCCATGGGGTTTTCATGCTTCTGAGGCATGTGAAAGCTGGACAGTGAAAAGGAAGAGCACGGAAGGGCTCGTGCCTTTGAATTATGGTGCTGGCAACGACTGTTAACTATACCATGGACCGCCAGAGAGGGGACAAGTTTGTTTTGGAGTAAGTACAGCCAGAATGCTCCTTAGAAGCAAGGCCCGGGGTACGCGGTCTCACTGCTTTAGGACAGGTCATCAGGAAGAACGTCATGCTTGGCAAAGTGCAGGTCAGCTAAAAAGAGGAAGTCCCTCGAGACAGAGACACGGATGTACACAGAGAAACAGATGTACGCGACAGCTGCACCAATAGGTTCACGCACAGCAATGTTTGTGAGGACGGCGAGGATCGAGCAGGGTTTCATGGTGTTGTACACAAAAGCACTGAGTTGGAACCAACTCAAGGCACCGAACAACAAAAAACAATTTGGAGATGCCTATGAGTCCCCACATAGCTATGTCAAGAAGGGAGCTAGATAGACTAGTCCAGAGTCCAAGGGAGAGATTTGGACGGGGATATAAACTTTGAAAGTAAAGAAACGAACACCACCACAAAATGCGCTTCCATTCAGCAACCCGATAGGACACGATCGTACTGCCCCTTTGAGCTTCTGAGGCTGAAAGACTCAGAGGAGTCAGACCAGAGCCTAGGGAAGTGGACACTGTAAAAGAAAACGTGGACAAAGAAAATGGAATCAAGAGATGAATTTTCAATATTTGGTTTTGATTTTTGAAGATGGGGGGGGCGCGGGGGGGTGTGTAAAATGAGGAGCTGATATCAAGGGCTCAAGTAGAAAGAAAATGCTTTGAAAAGGATGATGGCAGCATATATGCAAAGGTGCTTGACACATGAATGTATGGATTGTGATAAGAGATGTAAGAGCCCCCAATAAAAGTATTTAATTAAAAAAAAATTTTTTAATAAAAGATGGGAGAATAGAATGTTGGGCTTATCCATATACTGATGGGAATGATGTAGGACACAGGTGAGAAGGGAAGTGAGGCCATGGGGGGAATGGGACGAGACTGTGAAAAGGCGGTAAAATCAGTGGATTGGGGGAACTGGAATGCTCGAGGGAAGGTAGAGGGCAGGTTCAGGGATTACCCCGGAAGCAAGGTAAGCACCAGCTTATTTGTGCTTACTCATCTGTTGTGAAAAATTTTCCACAGGTTTCACCACATTGGGGAACACGAAGGAGAAAGGATGAAGTCCACCCCATCTTTAGAGCACTACGTACGCTCCGGAAAAAGGCAAGTTTGGGAGTCAGGGGAAGAGAGGAACATTCAAAGAAGAGGTTAAACAACAGGGCACCAAGTGGGAGATGGGGACCAAGGAGGGGCTCTGAAGAGCAAGGCAGGGGGACCAGGGTGCCAGGGTTGAAGGGTGAACAGGAGATGGGTTTGGGAATCCTGAGCCTGCCTGCTATTCTGCTTAACCGAGGCACGAAAGTGAAAAGACTGAGGGAGAAATAAATGAACTCACACATAGACAGTAAATAGCAAGGTGCCTGGCCGACAGTAAGTGATCCATGGAAGTTCGAAGATTACAAACAGGAAGACTGAGCACACTTCTCATTTGTGTTTGATTTTAAGAGTATCTTTATTTATTATTTTTTAAAATCAATTTATTGGGGCTCATACAATTCATCACAATACATAGATCAATTGTGTAAAGCACATCTATACATTTGTTGCCCTCATCATTCCCAAAATTCGCTTGCCTCTTGGGTTCCCGGAATCAGCTCATTTTCCTTTTTTCCCCTCCCCCTCCCTTCCTCCTCCCCTCTCCCCTATGCACCCTTGAAAATTTATAAAGAGTATCTTTATTTATTATTTTTTAAAATCAATTTATTGGGGCTCATACAATTCATCACAATACATAGATCAATTGTGTAAAGCACATCTATACATTTGTTGCCCTCATCATTCCCAAAATTCGCTTGCCTCTTGGGTTCCCGGAATCCGCCCACCCTCCTTTTTTTTTTAATTTTCCCCCCCTCCCCTTCCCTTTCCCCCATGCACCCTTGATAATTCGCAAACCACCACTGTATCTTATATCTTATATTACACTGCCCGGTGTCTCCTTTCACCCACCCCTCTGCTGCCCCTCCCCCAGAGAGGAGGTTATATGTAGCTCCCTGTGATCAATTCCCCCATTCTACACCCCCTTTCCCTCCTGGTGTCTTTAATCATTTCCATCAAGATTAACACAGTGCTGGCAGCTCAAAGCCATCAGCCGCTCAGTAGGAGAAAGACGAGGCTGGCTGTTCCTGGAAGACGGCCAGTGTGAGAAACCGCATTTAAATGAGTCCGAATTGGCCGTAGATTTGGGGCCTTCCTCTCTGTGCAGCATCAAGGGAAGCAAAAGTGTGACAAAAGTTTGCACAGCAGAGTTGTTGGGACAGGCACAATGACATCAGGAGAGAAGCCGAAGAGAAGACAAGAAAACAAACTATACAACCATGGATATGAACAATTATTTCTAATCACCACTTCTCAGTTATGTTTGCTTAATTAACCATTAGGTTATATTTGCTAACTTATGTTTAAAATAATAGTAAAACACACATTTTTTTAAAAACAGATAAAATTGGTAAAGATTAGCATTTGATTATTTTAAGATGCAGGACTGAGTGCTCTGGAAAATTCACTTGAGGTGCCACACTTATTGCCTGATTACATGAGATAAATTCAGTATTAATGTTTCTAAGGCTTGCCGTGTATTTTAACATGACTGCACTGATGACAAACTTACATTTCATCGCATGGGTTAGCTGTTTATATTGTTGTTGAGCAAGGACATGAAGTTTATCTGCTGAGGGTCCTCCTTGAGAGAGATCTTTAAGTAAATCTGTTCCTAAATTGGAAAAGCAGATTAAAATTGTTAAGTATACCAATAGTAGGTATTTTTCACGCATTGCTATAGCCATATTTTTTATTTTGCAATCACTTTGTCTGCTAGTGAAAGTTTTTATGGAAGGGACATACAAAAGCTAAATGCAGAACTTTGTAAAACTTTGGACTAAAATTTTTTAAAAACTGAATAGATGAAGGTAATTTTGTTCAATTTTAATATTCGTCATTTTTCATATGGCTCTTATGAGAGTTAACCAAGCAGCTAAGGAAGTCACTTAGGTATGGAAGAGAAAATGTCACCAGTCTGGAGGCTAACACAAAAAAGAAAAGATAATATTTCTTTTCAAAAGTAGAAACAGATGAGCTATAGTCAGACCTAAACAAGAAGGAACACACAAGCATGTGGGGCAGAAATCTTGAAACAAAAAGTTCAGGAAGGCAAAGGCATGTCTTCCCAGTGGATGAGGAAGCCATCCGTTTTTAAGCTTCTAACACTTTTAACATATTTTTGGGTAGCAATTCATCTTGCAAGCAATTGTACAAGACTTTTTGATATGATTGAACTTTGAAATGGTATGATATTAAAATATATTTGATATAAGAAATTGATGTTATTATTTACAATGTTAGTAATACTTTGTAATTACAATATATACAGTGGTAGTGATGTGAATATTAATAATTAGGTAATAAGGTAACATACTTGGGAGCTACTTTACGAGTTATTTTAACAACCCTTAGAAGCATTCTTTTCCTTTTCAACATTCAGAAAACTTAAAACAGATGGGAAACTGTCTGCACAGCTTTCGTTTCATAATTGCTTCTCGGCTTTCAAATGTCAACTTCTTGACTGTTTTTTGTCTTATTTTTCTCATAACGTTTTCCGAGTACTTCCTGTATGCTGCATAAGGAGCCCTGGTGCTGTGGATCCTCATGGTTTGTGGTTCAAAACCACCAGCATCTCCAAGGGCGAAAGACTGGACCTCCCGCTCCCATAACCTGTCTCAGAAACCCACACGTCACTAGGAGTCCCAGGCAGCAAGTTGGGATTTTCGTTTGTTTGTTTATTTGTTTTTTAATTTTTTTTATTTAATCATTTTATCGGGGCTCATACAATTCATCACAATACATAGATCAATTGTGTAAAGCACACCTACACATTTGTTGCCCTCATTATTCCCAAAATTCGCTTTCCTCTTGGAATCAGCTCATTTTCCTTTTTTCCCCTCCCCCTCCCTCCCCCC